TTTAATGATGATCCAAAATCAAGTCTGGCTTCATTTGACATTATCTTTCTCTGACAATATATGTAAGATCAGTGAAATTATTTGTAAAGACAAATTATTTCTGACAATATATGTTTCTAGGCACAACTACTAAAAGGGCAAGGGAATTTGATGGCCCTAGTGGATCCAAGGTTGGGCTCAGACTTCAACAAAGAAGAGATGATGCTTACAATCAATGTGGCTCTCCTCTGCTGCAATGCCACTTCAACAGTTAGGCCTACCATGTCTTCAGTTGTGAGCATGCTTGAAGGCAGGGCTGCTGTTCAGGAATTGGTCTCAGATCCAAACGCCTCAACTAATGAGATCGAAGCAATGAGGAAACATTTTGAATCCAGTTCCGGAAGGAAAACCGGTGAGAGCCAGACACAAACCGCGTCAACTGAAGGGCCTTGGACTGGTTCATCTACTTCTGCTCATGATCTCTATCCAGTCAATCCTGATTCAACTTACTTGGACAACAGAAATGAGAGAAACTGAGCAAACTGTCTTGACTCTCAAACATTTATGTTCATATATCATCTCTACTCCCTCCCTTTATGTTCATATATCATCTCTACTCCCTCTCTATATACACACGCATATATATATTTTTTGTTTGGCTGAAAGAATAATATAGATGTTTCTACAGCATGGTAATTTTAAATTATGAATCCCTTGGATCAACTTTGATACAGCACAGAAGCTGGTATATTATATCTTTTGAAAGAGAATGGTGGAAAATCAGCATTCTGCTAAAAACAATGTGGCTTTGAACTTGTCATGCAATATCAATATGAGTGTTGGAAGGCATGAACTAGCAGATTTGGCTTAGACAGCTAAAGGAGATACGATGAAGTCATCTTTGGTAGCCCTTCCAATGAGCCAACGACCCCAAGTGGACAATAGGCCTTTTTCTGTAACATTTTGCGTCTCTTCAGAATTCTAAATTCTAAGTTGTACAGCCAATAGTAGGGCAATAATGCTAAAAGGAGCATTTGTTAACTAATTTAGAATTGAACCCTTTTGGTAAAGGCCTGACAAGGATAAATTGAACTAATTCTTTTAGCCAAATCAGTTCCAACCCATTTGTGATCTTAATTTTTTTTGTTTTGAAACGTCATTTGTGATCCCAATTAATGCAGATGGTGCAACCTATATGTGCATGCAGAATGATTTACATACGCAACCATAGTGATGGATTCATGAACTTTTTTTTCGTGAGGGAAAAAATACAATCAACTGCTAGATACTCTACCAAACACCTTATTTCCATGTTACCAAAAATATCAATGGATAGAATTTTTTGGCTAGATTAATACTCACCCTAACATGAATCTTTCGGTATCTAACCTTCTTAAAATCACATTGTCTTTGGTACTTGTTTTGGTGATGAAGCTATTATTTATTCTCACCAAATTCATATGAACTCTTTTTTTGAGTTATTTACACTAACACCCCTGAGGTTTTCGGTGTTTTCACAAAACCCCATGAGGAGGTTTCATATTGTTTTTTTTTTTTGGTAAATACCACGAGGTGTCCCCACACTCAAAGGGTGGGATTAATCCTCGCTCCGAGTTCGGCTTGCCCCTAGCCACAAAGTGTTTCCAACAGGTTTCGAACTCTTGCCATTGAGGCACTAGGTAGCTTGTTTATAATATCTTATGGAGTTCTTGGATATTATTTTGATAATTGAAATTATGAAATAGATGAGTATGGGATACTTGATTTGGGGGGCTGTGAAAGCGAGCCTTGGGCTCGACTATGATTATTAAGGAGTGGGTGGACATTGTTGTTAAGTATATTTCGTTTTTTCCAATTATGGAATTTTGAGCATTTTGAGTTTTGATTGAAAATTTATTTAATATGGGTTATTGAGGATATGGGATCTCTAAAGGCTACTATTTATCATTTATTCATATTATTATGATTATTATTAAAGTATATGGAGTGGGTGACATCGGGTTATTTAAGAAAGTCCATCGCTGTAATCGTGAAATATAGTAACTTATGTTAATTTAGTGTAAACAAGTTCTGATTTCTATTTGATTTGTTGTTGGGTCTTTATGGAATATATGCTTGAGAGTTTATTTCCTATAATGTGGATGAATTTTTGGGAAGATCGAATTAAGGAAGGGAATATTATCTTATAATATTTATATAAGAGTTACGAACTCCACCATCATATGTACCTCCCCTTGGATACCGAT